GTTAGCACTAAACACACAGTAGATGAGGCTGATGGAAATGTTGTTATTGTGGGTATTCAATCATTAACCATTAGAGGGCAACTTGGCTTGAACTGGTGGTGGATGAATAAGTTTAATGATCATCAGAATTATTACTATTCATTGGAAGGGCTGTATGAATATCTGAGCCATTCGGCATGTGGTGATTTATACAGATAGGCCTTGGTAAGCAGAGCCGAAGAAGCCAAGGGTCAGCTTGACGAGCACACATGAAGCACTTATAGCTCTGTAGCTAGGTATAGCTAGTCACCCATCAAAGATTATCTGAATATCAAGCCCCATTTACAAGCCCCCTTTGTAAATGGGACACAGTCACGCCCATGGAATTGACAGAAAATGATGCAGCAGCTGGTACTCAACCCAGCTTCCAGACAGGATAGCAGTAAATTACAAGAAGCATGCTAAGAGGCAATATCAGATCCTTTATGGGGCAGAACACTGTTCTGAGATGTACAGTGATACCACTTCCATGTTGGTATTGGCAATTCATCCCATAACTGTTGAGGCATTTCGCTCAAAATCATTGTCATCCTGTTGGTAGTGCTAGAGGAAAAGTCAAGGGATCACCAAGGTCTCTGGTGACCATGGATATCTGTACAAAATATGTAACAGTTATTGAACTGTCATCGTCACAGAGCGTCAGACTGCCACCTTTCCTACATAAAAATATGTTAAAGAAAAAAAGAAACATTTTGTCTACTAGTAGGTAAGACTGTTCAAACTGAAGGCAGAACTGAAAAAGAACAAATCTGTTTACAAGTGCAGCAACAGGTGTGAACTACAGACCATTACCTCCCTTACAGTAGGCTAAGTTGCCATGACAAATCAGGCATGGCAGTTGAACACAGACTTAGTGAAACTGTTACAGGCTCTTAGATACATCATACCATACTGTGATACCAGCATCGTATAGCAAAACACAGGTATGCTGTCCACTAAATACTAAATACACACAGTACACCCAAAAATATTTACAGTATTGGTTTTGGGATTGACGATTGACTTCTTATGTATTCTATTTATCATATAGCTCATTACTGTTTTAATTTGCTTTTGTGTATCACAGAGTTGTTTCTATGGGGAATACAATATTTGCTTCCATTGTAGCATTTCAAATGCTCCTGGACCCTCCCCTCATGTAAGCACTACAAGTTAAATTAGATCTTTGTCTTGCAAAAAAAAAAAAAAAAAAAAAAGCTAATAGGGGGATTAATTTCTCTCATTTATTGTTTTGTTTCAGTTCATGTTCAATCAGTCAAATAAAATGCTTTTACAGAGGCTGGTAAATTTGATACAAATTAATGCAATTAACATTGCTTTACAACAGAAGAGCTGCGACGAGAACAATGCATCAAACTAGAAGAGGAAATATTTGATGTTAACATCGTGAATCATGAAATTGTAATAAATTATGGAGCAATAAAAAGTGTAAACAGCTACAGACATTTTAGGTTATGCTTTATTTCCTCCTCAGCATGGTTGCCATAGATGCCAGAACTGTGCCTGTTCCTCTTTGGTCTCTGGTTGTCTTTACTGCTTCTATTTTGGTCTCAGTCTCAGTCCAAAGTGTCAGGCGGCGCAGGAGGGGAGTGGCAAGCCAGTCTTTCACCACAGGGAGAGAAACGGAGTGTTAGGTTGTCTAGCCAGAACCCCACAGAGACGTTAGCCCCACAGGTACATGCTAATGAAGACAGCGAAATCAATATTCCTGCCATCCTCCCCACAGCAACCAACACACACACACACACACACACATTTATATTTCTGTAATTCTGAGGACCTTCTATTGCCTACACTTAGTCCCTATTTCCACACCTGAAAACTGAAATACAACCTCGAATATATTGTTAAATATCATTACATTACATGCAGTGGGTTTTGATGAGCCCACTTTAACCTGCCTTTCATACTTCAGTTCGTGACTATCCATATTTCCCAAAATGCCTCCACTAAACCACCATGCATTTTGTTAGGTCTATGTAAAAATGTTAAAGGACTAGTTTGACATTTTGGGATATGCATTTTTATTTTTTGGTAGCTTATCTATTTTATAATCCAAGAAGGCGAAAAGGCATATTTCTCAAAATGCTATAACTCACTATTCCTTTGACCATAGTGTGAACAGGAAGAGGTTTGAGTCTCATTTTCAAAACCTTGCATGTCTTCTGGCTGCACTACATTTTGGTCTATTGAGGACAGTGTCAGTAGATACATATCTCCGCCTCCAATAATATTGATTTCTTCCTGTATTATGGCTGAAAATTGGTACAAATTGTGAGTGGGAATAGCCCTTTCTCTTTGATCCAGACTAGACCTCTCTCTCACTCTCTCATGTTTTGGCTGGCTAAAAACAAAAAACAGCTATAATTATCAGTGCAAAATACACCTTTAATCACAAAATTGTCAAGATATATTATATATATAATTTCTACTGCTGATAAGGTGTATTTTCTTCATGTTATTCACTGCTCCATGTTTATTTGCCATAGAGTCGTTGTACTGACAGGTATTAGCCGTTAACACTGTCCGAACTGACTGTGGGAGCATTCCAGTGCTCTTCCTGTCATTTTCCTCATGTTGTGCTCCTTTCTTTCTCTGTAAGTTTATGAAGTACATTCATTAAAGCCCAGGATAAGTGCAAATATGTCAAACATAACTTTTTGCTCAAGTTCAAGACTTTTGAATATGTGCAGACATACAGTATATTTGCTTCAGTTTCCGCTATCCTGGGCAAGTTTGTGTTTTATTCACTCATGTCTTCTCACTGAGTTTGTATGAAAACACCCTAAAATTCACCTTAATTTCTGTCTCACCACACCTTTACAATATTTTGTTATGGAGCCTTCCTTTAAGATTTAATACTTCGTGCAAAAATAACCTTAACTCCTTTATTTCAACCTAATCCTAAATCTAATCTAAATCCCTCCATCAAAATAAACCTCTTTATATGTCAAATCTGTTCTCACATTTACAGATATTCTTGTACCTTGCCGTCTTTGTGAGAGCAGCTGGTCCTCATAAAGACAGAGTTGTACCACTGTCACACACATCTCATTTCTTCATTATACCACATGTGAGTTGGGGGTCCCATGTGACTTAGTTATAGGGGACAGTATGTCACCGAAGATTAAAATAAGGGAAAGATAAGGGAAAGTGTGGCGCGTATGAGTTACAAGGATAAAGGGTAAGAACGGATAAAAGCTGATCTCAGATGAAAAGTCACACAGAGTAGAGTGAAAAAGAAAGAAGAAATAAGAAAAGGGAAGTGAAGGTAGAAATAAAATAGGTCCCACAGGCTTTCTTCTCTTTCTTGCCCCTAGCTGTGAGCTCCTGTTCACTGGTAATAGCAGACTGATTAACTTGGAAGACTGGATTCCCACCATCCCTGTGGCAAGCCAGCAAGAATATGAAACAGGACTTCCAACAAATCTTTCAAAATAAAACATCAAACGCATCAAGCCATCGTTTTATTAAAAAAAAAAAAAAAGAAAAAAAGTCATGTCAGACTTGTGTGGAACAAGAAACCAAAATCACAGCAATGAAAACACCTTTTCTTCTTGTTATACACAATGTCCCTGGACCCAAGACATAAAGAAGGTGACAGGGATGCTGCTTTCTGAATGGAGGTGTGAAATCAAATCCTCTTTTTCTAGCAGGAAAGATTTGATCAGAGTTTGACTGATACATGAGCCAGATATCGACTTCTTAAAACCCAGATAAGCTTGGAGTCAGTGATGTCCAACTCTGATATAATGATTCATTTGTTTCAACAGGCATTGATTGGACAGTAGATCAATATGGTCTGTCAATGAGAAGAAGAAGAGTGTTCATCATGGTTGTATCTACTTCTTCTTCTTCTTGTTCATCTCATTATTCAAAATTTAGAGTTGACAGAAGAGGTCTATTCTCCTTGAAGATATTTATGTATTTATCTTTTGTTTATTATCTAATTTGACTGTCAGTCAAATTGTAACATTTTGCTAACGGCTAACATTACACTATTTACCAGAAGTCAATTCTTCTTGGCCGCTCTAAAACAGTAGTTGCCAGTGGCTTCACAGTGCAACTTACTGTGTAAGCTACTGATTTACAGCTGCAAAGAAGAATTCATTTCTGGTAAAAAAAAAAAAACAACAACAACAAACAAACAAACAAACAAACAAAAAAAACTGCTATTTTATCTGCGGGTGTGAAAATATAAAGTTTATTAATAAATGATGTGGTATTGGTTCTGTGCGTACTCGCCGATACCCATTACAGTATTTTAGGCAGCAGCCTATCTGAGGCATTTTCTATACTAGTATTGGTATTGGGGCAACTCTACATGTTTGTAAATTAATTAATTTCTTCAGTTAATTAATTATTTTGCTTCACTGGTTTGGTCCTCCATAGACTACTACAGCAGCAGGGCCATATGAAAATAAAATGAAAGCTAGACCTAGGCTGACTCTGCCAACATCTGGAGTGCATACGAGTGACGTCAGCCACTTTAAGAACTCATGATTTTATTCTTTTATCCGTATTAGGGAGCTTAGTTTTGAAATGTATTTCGGGCTTTTACTTTGAAGCCAAAACCACCCTAGCGTTGCTGTGGTTGCAGCTGCTCGCTTGACGCATCTCTCTCTCCTCTCTGTCTCTCTACCTCTCTCTACCCGCCGTCATCCAACGCGGTGCCGCTGCCTCCTTCAACCTGGAGCCGCCGTCAGGAAGGATTAGCTGCCTGGTTACCGGAGAGAAAACCAGATAAGATTAAAAAAATAATAATAAATAAAAAGAAAAATCGGATTTTTATGAGGGTAGTTTTTTTCCTCCATGGAAGACAGAGTGGAAGGAGACCAACTCAGAGAGAGGATTGCATTCACAGTCTGTTCAAGTGTGTGAGTGTGTATTAGTCACAGAGTGTGTGTGTGTGTGTGTGTGTGTGTGTGTGTGTGTGTGTGTGTGTGTTCCTCGGACTCCCACTCAGTGATGTAAAACGTGAAGGTGGATTTTGGCATGTGGAGGAGCAGGTAAAAGGTAAGACTCATCACACTTCACTGAGCCTGAATAGCTTTAACTGTCTTACAGTTTAAGGGGGGATGTTGGAGCTCCTGTGGCTTCAATCTGTTGCCAAGATGAATGAAAATCTTTCCCTGCACAACTCACTATTAACTGGCTGTTAAGTCGCAGGAAAAAGATATTGACACTTGGTTTCATCAGCAGACTATAGGCGTAGTCCCTTTATGGGCACTAGGTGTGAGGGTCTTGAGGAGGATGCAAGTAATTCAACAGCTAAATAAATAAATAAATACACAAGAGAAGTGACGAGGTCCCCCATGAGGTCTGTGGTGATGAATGGAGATAAAAGCTTTGCCTCAGTTTTCAGAGTGATGTAGGTGTTGAAAATGTGGTGCATTCACTGTGTGAGTTTGGGTGGATGACGACACTTCTCCCCGAGCATTGCAGGATGAAAAGGGAATCAGTTAAGTGATATTAAATGAGATTTCAAAATAAAAATAAATAAATAAATAAACGTGTGTGAAATTTTGGCCTGGGCTTGGTTGACGTCTCTTGGATGTGACTGTAATTTCCTTTCACTGAAGATTGTTGCAGTAAAAGAGATTGCATCTGTCCACCAGGTGACACGATGATACCAACTCACTCACTTCACAAGGTGGGTAAAACCCTTCCCCGAGCTGCACAGCGGGGATGACACATGCACTGTATGAAGTTGGAAGCTGGCGCTCTGCTGTGAGTCAAAGTGGCCCTGCAGCAGAGAGACACAGTCCTTCTTTTTTTTGTAAGCCCCGGGAGTGGACCAGGATCTCTAAAAGCCTGCCGGGGTTAGATATAGTGTAGATATATTCTTTCATGCAGATGAGTGCTTGCAAAAACTCCCCACTTTACTTCTATTCTGACCTTAAGTATGAGAAATAGGACTGAATTATAAATGAGTTATGCTCCAGCCAAGGGACTCAGCTACTGTCTCTTGTCTGACTTCCGCGGGCATTAATTGACTATGGCATGGCTACGGTAATTGGGTGCAAATTCAATCTGGTTCTTCTTATCTTTATAATGGAGAGCAAAGTTCAAGGGAAATAGCCAGAGATGCATTTGTTAAGCCATGTCTAAAAATAAAAATGGGCATTTGGGAACAATAGTTTTGTGAGCTGTGTCAAATAATTTATCGCGCTGACCAAATTGTTTCATCTTTGCGCCCATGAAGCTGGAATATAAAAGTGTTTTTTTAATAAGTTTTCATGTGACAAATGAATTCAGGTGCAGGTACCGCAGGGTTTCAACAACTGCCAACCCTGCTGTCTCCAAGCAAGAGGGATGCTAATGGAGGAGAGAGAGGATACAGGCGTTACCGCTTCAAGACAGAGACAGAGAGAGAGAGAGAGAGAGAGAGTGTGAGGCGTTTCCATGGTAACCTGTCAGGGGTGTGTTTGGTCCCTGGAGATGATGAGGAACGGAGGGGAGGAGAGAGATGAGAGGCATGGAGAAAACTATCCCTCGTTAAGGGTGAGAGGGGGATGGGAGAGGAGATAATGGAGGGAAGAGTGGAAGGTGGGATTGCCCCCCCCCTCCACACACACACACACACACACTTCCCCACCCCTTCTCCTATTGTTTGTTTGTCTCCTTCCCGTGCTGTTGCCTCCTCGCAGGCTTCCTCTCCTCACACCACCTCCTCTGTTCGTTTGGAAGGAACTCGTTGGTGCTCGTCATGCCTGTGTTTGCGTCATATGGAAGAGGGCTAGACGGTTATTATCAGTGTTCACGTGTTTGAACTCTCGCTTGAGGACATTGAGGCACTTAGTTGCTCTTGAATCAGTTGTAGTACTTCCTTGTACCTTTACCTGTTAGCCATTATAACCACAGCCAACATCTTGACCACCACAGCCTCACTACTCACTCCTCGTGACGAGCACACAAACCAGCTGGTCGCTTCTTGGCTTTTGTAGTTTCCCTCAGATGTCAATAATGTGAAAAAGCAATGCCAGTCTTCGGGTTATGTCTGCTGAGAGTTTAGCTCTGTGTTACATTGACAATGTTATCGCTATTCTGAGGACTTTCATGCTCCGTGGCTGTTAGCTTCGACTCCACAGCCACAACACAGCTCACCTCTGGCCATGTCCGTACGACACACCCACAACAAACTGTAAAACATCCAAAAAAAAAAAAAAAAATCCAAGGAAATCCAACTTAAACCAAAAGGAAGAATTTAGGCACCAACAGAAAAGACACAGACGCCACATGTTGCAGCAACAAGTGTGGCATCAAGATTTTTTGGTGTTTTGTTTTTGAAGTATTTTATGTCTTTTTTATATCAGTGAGTTGACAGTAAAGATATGAAGGGAACATCAAAGGCTCCCCCAGCCACATTTGAGTCAAGGATGTCGTGACAGCAGCTTAACATAGGCCATGAAGTCTGCAAGTAAAAGATATCTGAGAAAGATCCAGAGTTTTCCCTTGACTTCTTGCATAGAAGTTATGCATATTATGTCCTAATGATTTATATTATTTATGTTTTTCAAAAGTTGATGGATTTAAAGTAGAGGAATTTTTACCACCTGGACTTTGATTCCAATGGTATCAACTTGGAAGCTTGTATAACTCTCTTATATATTATCTAACATGATGGAGGTATGGGAGGCTGAAAAATGCAAAAGGTGTTGTCTCTGAAGCCAGTAGAGCAGTAGTCCACAGCTTTAAAGTGATCATCAACTCAACCAGTTAATTTGACTCACGAAGTGAGAAAAACAAGATTTAGTTCAATTTTGGAGTGAAATAATGAGTATTCACACAGATTCACATTTTATTTTATTGTTTGTTTACTTGTTGTCATGTATCTATTTTGGTCTATTCTGAGGATATTAGTGCACACATTAAAGTCATTGTCCCACAGACGCCCATCATAATGACAGTAAAACAACAGCTGGCTGCTGAACAGCCCCATTATTAATGTAAGGAGTTGGCAATTTCACACTCACAGCTTTAATTGCTTAATGATAATCTACTGAGTTGAGTTTTGTTTCAAGATAACTAATGACTAACTAATGACTAAAAAGCTGTTCAGCAGCCACCTCTCATATCCCACACTTTAAATTAGCATGTGTTGCCATGCAGTGGTTCGGTAACACGGCGACAAGCATGTTTCAAGTGTTTGTGCATGTTTCGCATCTCTGTGCATTAAATATTCTGCAGTCATGTAGAGAAGGTGGGATCTGATGGACTGAAACATACGGGAGCACCAGTTTTGTGTGGACAAAAGGGACTTTTAGTGGTTTATAGCTACATTTTTTCACAGGCTTCACCAAACATTTGTAGCCTATACAATGCAGATTTCGTGCTTTGCAATGTTTATTGTATTCAGACTCAGGAACATTCCTTTATCATCAATTCAGGCGCTTTCCTGCAGGTTCCTGTGTAGACAGTGGTAATTAGACCTTCATGTCATTAGGTCTTAAAGCAGCAAGTGATGATCCCTCTCCTCACTTAATCTGACTGGACAGGATAGACTTTTATTCAACTCACTGACTGCTGTCAAAGCAGTCTTCCAAAAATATACTGTAAGTCATCTAGAGTGCGCAGAGCAGCACAAAAGCAGTAGACAAAAAGCTTCACTTTCATTGAAAAGAATTTTCTCTATGATCACATCCCAAGACTCACATTTACAGAGCTTTCTAGTATTAAGGTTTGGCCCCAGTGGTGAAATTCAAAAAACAGACATATGACGTTTTCTAAGAATTTACCCCTAAAAAGATTAAATCATAGTACAAATAAAAGCTCTGCAAGATGCATAGAGCTCATCTCTTCAAGAGATCCTGTAGGGGCTGTATGGGGGAGGAGTTCTGTGCAGCTTAGGAGGTTCTTAAGCAAAGGGGAAAAAATGGCCGCAACAAGTGGAGGCAAGAGAGAAGTTCTCCAAATACCGAATTACAAAGATGGGCTAAAGTGCTTCAAATCGCAGGGATGAAACCACTCGTAAGTTGGAACTGCTTTTTTAGGTGAAATAAGAGCTCTCTGAGAGTTTTCTCAAAATAGTCTCAATTACAGGGTGCATCCCAGGTTTCTGATGCTGGGTGATCTTGAATGGGAAAAAAAAAAGACTCAGTGGCTAAAAGGCAGCTCTCCATCAAAACATAATTTCTCAAAAATCAGAATATTTGTTTATATACTGAACTTTATTTCAGCTGACTGTTTTATGTGAAGGCAGATAAAGGGATTCACAGATTCTAAATTAAGATAAAAGATAAAACGGCATCAAGGACGTATGTGCAGTACGCACAACCAACATCACAGGGCAGCAAAAATAGAAACATGCATCATCATGGGATAAAAATGATGAAAGCCAGTATAGCAGTCAGTAGGCTGAGTCTCTTAATCTCTGTATTCTTATTCTGAATACAGATTTGGCCAAAGTAACAGACAGTGAAGGCTGTCTCCACATGTAGCCCTGCAACACATTAGCAATGCAGCGAGCTATATGGAGCGCTCGTTGTTATTGGAGGCGAATTTTTAGTTTGACAGGGAAGACAAGGCTAGTCTGTGGGGCCCTTTGCTGGAGTGTGATTAGCATTGCAGATGCAGGTTTCTGTAGGCGTCAGTTTCAACAAACTCAAGGTTCCCCTGTCTCCAGTGCATGATTAAAATGTAACAGTGGTGCGTGGGAAATTCACAAGAGCAAAATCATGCTCCAACACTCAAAGAGCCTATTTTTTGCTCAGGTATGTTGCACCTCCTTCGGTGCGCGCTCCCTTTGCTCTTTCTCCTGCACATAAATACACACAAGGGCTCAACCCACATGGGATGGGAGCCAAAATTGGCTCAAAGCTGCCAAAAGCCATTATTTTCTGCAGATATTTGATATAAAAAATTAATGTGTGAATGTGAAGGAGGACATTGCTGGAAATGAGAGACATGTGAATTTCCTGGAGAAACAAAGCAAAAGAAAGAAAAAAAAAAATCTGTCTTTCGCAGCAAAAAAATGATCATAACCATAACCAAAATAATAATCATAACCATTGGCA